CCCCAAAACCCCAAAACCCCAAAACCCCTTATTTGATAATATATTTTGAAAAACAATAATGAGTGGATACACAGACGATCATTCAAATTTATTAAAAAGATACCTCAAGTTTTTCAACTTGAAAAAGGAATCTGCTTTTAAGGAAGTTAAATTGTCCCTTGGAGACATCAGAGAGGACTCCCTTGACAATGCAGTCTTCACTAAAGCAGATGTTGAAGGAATCTTCTCCAAAATTGGTAAGTGCCATCAACACCTTTATAAGGATGAATAAGTTTCTAATCTTGCTGTTTAGAAGAAGAAGTCGTCAGTACTTTCAGAGACGAACTTGATAGGTTCTACAAGATGTCAGGAGTCTTTGTACAAATGCTCCTTCATGATGCAGAGAAACAAGATGCAAATATAAACGCAGAAGTCAGTTTTATGGAAAATTATAAAGCACTTGAGGAGATTAAGCAGTTTGAGGAAGAAAAAGAAGCACTCTCTTTACCATCCATGGTGAATAAGGTTAGCAAAATGGCGTCAAAACTTCCAACCCTGCTCGATAAGGATGAAAATAAGCAGCTGCAATTTCAAAACAAACAATTGATGACTGAGAATGAATCTCTTAAGAAAAAGATAGCTTTTCAAGAGAAGAAACTCATAGATAGCTTGAAGGAGAAATAGCACTCTTTCTACAAGCTTAAAGCAGACAGAGAGCGAAAGTAGCAGCCTCAAATCAGAGTTGGAAGGGAACATAATCATGACGGCTTCTGAGAAGGCTTCACTCGAATCCAAACTTACCAGCTATAAATCTGAAATTACTGAATACAAAAAGCAGCTGAATACTAAGATTAGTAAGTTGAAACAAGTTGAGGCGATGAAGAAAATGCTGACTGACAAGAATACTGAGATAAAAGAATTAAGGGAGAAGCTTTCAGCGTACGAATAAGTGTAATCAATTGCTTCAATACAGCACAAGAATTGAGGGGTTTTGGGGTTTTGGGGTTTTGGGGTTTTGGGG